GGAAACATCTTTGGTAAACAATTATCCTCTATAGCCGAAAATTCCTTGCAACACATTGGACCGATATGTCCAAAATGTCCCGTGAGAATTGATGTTGTAATTTCTATCAAACATCCGGGAATGTTAACGAGAGATGACCAACATTTCGTAACATCAATAGGTAAAACCCCGGAAAAATCCGGAAGTTGTTGCGGTTGCTGCACCTCCGCTAGACTCGGCCTCGCCAAATCGGTGAGACATAAAGTTGCGACCAATACCAAAGAAAAGCGAACTCGAGATTTGATTTCCATTTTCTGGACGATTAAACCGAACTGTGTTTTGTTCTTCTCTATGCTCGGAAAGAAACAAGTATTTGGGATGGTATGAATAGGTAAATAAACATGGAATTTATAGGGTAAAAAAGTATATGTTATAACTAATGTTACACGTTACATTTTTTTTATGAACGTTTCTAACCCCCAAAATGAATATTGAAGTCAGTAACTTCCTTGGTTGTTTTAGCCATAAAATGGCTTGAAATGCCGTTTTGGCTTAAATGGCGTTGAATACATTATCGATAAGCACATGAATACTTGAGAGTTAATAAGAAATTATAGGGAAAAAAGTATAAAATAATAAAAATAAAACTCTTCCAGAAGTATTAGTAGTACAATTTTCAAAGGTTAAAGGGAATGAAATTTAGGTGTCTTACGCGGAACTATATTGTATATGACAAAAAAGAAAGAAATGAAAATAGCACTTTCAAGAAAGTGTTAATAATGTTTGTCAATAATTTAATGATATAAAGATATTGGTATTATTTTTAAGATTTTTTTTTTGTTAAAATGTGCTTTGTATTACTTCTCAAAAAAGTGATTTACAGTCATGGTTAGACCATACACAAAAATACCCAAAAGTAAACAAATTCCCATATGCAAGTGGAAGTAATCAGTAAGGTAACCTGCTACTTTAGTTTCAAGCGTATATGAAGCCTCATGGTGTCGAGAAACTCACGAATGAGAGGAAATGACATGGTATACTCGTATGCTTCTCTACCGAAAAGGATATATCCGAACACAATTTGTTACCGTTATCTATGAGTTTTAATACTCCTAGTCTTGGTAATTGTTTATTTCCATTATTTATATTTGATCCTGGATCATTTGAGAATTCATGTCTTGATGAAATACCAATCTTTAAGATTTTTATTATAGCTATAAAAGTTGTTTGTCAATAATTCTTCAGAATATACATATTTCTTCGGAGACTCAAGCTTCATTATTTTTCTAAATAAAGTATCTCTATATAATTGATACCATATATATTTTATCTTTAATTGATATTATACATTTAATTATTATCAATCATATTAAATCTCTATATTTTATTTCTATTTCAAATGAAATGGAAATGATAAAGCTCTAATTTAGCATCCCGTCCGGTCCAATCCTTGCTCGTCGTGTTCATCACGCGCGGAGACAATTGCCGACGTACGATCCAGCTACTGATTACCAAAACGACACAGTTTCTTGAACGAGCATCTATACCTATACGCAATGCGGATTTTGAAAAAACGGCTAGATGGCAGTATTTTTTTTCTTTATCAAATCCAAAGTCTTCTCATCATAGAAAATTAACGGAAGAAAAAAGGAAAAAATACATAAAAGAAGTGGTTTTGTCTTGGTTCGTTGGATTTAAAAGGCTTTGAAAGGAAGTTTATGCAAAGATTCTGTTCGACCAACTGAATTATTGTATTAGCTTATTTTGAAAGAAAATGTCATATTTGTGTCATCCACATAGAGAATGCGATAAATGTCCAAACTCTACGGCGATCTATAAATATCTATGTCTAATTCATATATTATACAAAAACACGTTCAATGAAAATGCAACCCATAACTTCCTATGCGTATCCACTTCTCCTATTAGTGGCATCCATAGTTGCGCAAACCAGACGCAGACGCGAGAACGCACTGTGGAGGAATGTTCAGGTTAGGGTCGCCATTTCTGGTTTCAGTTCATCGCTACCAAAAAAATACGGAAAGGATGATATGAGGAAAAAAAATCATCCCCCTTTCTTTCTTTTTTTTTTCTTTTAGTGATGTTTTTCAAGGGTTTGGACCGGGCTCAAAATAGAACTTCGGATTTGGTCCGGTTAAACCCAATGGATTCCGGATCGGACTGAAAGTCTGAGTTTTTATACAAATTGTGAAAAAAAAAATCAAATGGAAAAGGGAAAAAACCCTAATCCGTTGGACCGACTCGTTCCGACCTAAGCCCGATCATGGGTCTTATAGGACTAGGCTTCAAGCTCGATTTCCTAGGCCCAAAAAAGAATCTGGGTAGGCCTATTTGACATCCTTATTTTTTTTATTTGGTTGGGTTCGAGTCCAATTTACTCGGTTCGGTTTTAGAGAAACTATAAATAAATCAGTTTGACATCATATGATAACACCGTATTCAATTGCATCACTGAATGTTAACGATGGAAGATCAGGGAACTAATCTTAAAGAAACCTTACAAATTTTGTCATACATATGCGTTGTGATATACATATGGTTAAATTGAATAGTGTAAACAATATTTTATCTAACTATGTTTATAAATAAAAAATTGGAGAGGGTAGTTAGAAATGAGTAAAGATTTTCACAAATAATTTAAGTTTTATTCATTTGAAAATAACAATCTAAAACCACCAAAACATAAGGATATGAAAATGAAACACCAAAAACTAGACTATATCATATCATAACTCCAATATTGCTTCACTTGTTTGTAGGAGGAGCTGCAACATTTCCCGAGCAGTTATTTTTGAGAAGATCGGGAAAGAAAGGAATCATAGGAAACATTTTTGGCAAACAACTATCCTCTATAGCTGAAAATTCATTGCAACACATTGGACCGATATGTCCAAAATGTCCCGTGAGAATCGACGTCGTGATTTCTATCAAACATCCGGGAATGTTAACGAGAGATGACCAACATTTCGTAATATCGATAGGTAAAACTCCGGGGAGATTCGAAAATTGTTGCGGTTGCTGCATCTCCGCTAGACTCGGCCTCGCCAAATCAACGAGACATAAAGCTGCGACTAGTACCAAAGAAAAGAGAACTCGGGATCTGTTTTCCATATCTAGAAAATTAAACCGAAGCTTGTTTTGTTCTTGTTTAGTGAGATTGCTTGGAAAGAAGTATTTGGGATGGTATGAATATGTAAAGAAACATGGAATTTATAGGGTCAAAAAATATATGTTATAACTAATGTTACACGTTACATTTTCGATGAAATTTTCTAACCCCCAAAATAAATATTGAAGTCTTCATGGAGTAACTTCCTTGGTTGTTTTAAACTGAAAATGGCTTGAATGGCATTGAATAGTGAATACATTATCGATAAGCACATGAATACTTGGGAGTTAACAAGAAATTAAAGAAAAAGGTATAAAATAATAAAAATAAAAATATTCCGGAACTATTAGTAGTACAATTTTCAAAGGTTAAAAGGAATGCGATTTAAGTGTCTTAAGCAGAGCTATATTGTATATAACAAAAAAGAAAGAAAAGAAAATAGCACTTTCAAGAAGGTGTTAATAATGTTTGTCAATAATTTTTTTAATGATATAAAGATATTGGTATTATTTTTAAGATTTTTATTATAGCTGTAAAAGTTGTTTTAACGTGTGTGTGTGTATATATATATGGATGGATCTAATTTAATAGTACTTGCCACTTGGTTTATATATTTCAATATGACTAAGATTAATTATTTATTTACATTAATTCATATAAAATAAAAGAAAAGCAGTATTATTTCGCATAGCTAAATAAAATTAAATTAATGTTTTCTCTTTTTGGCATTATATTATTGTTATATATATATATATATATATATACAAAAAAGATGCATTTCCGGGGATGTTTTCCGTTGTTTTCTCAAGGGGAAAGGCGTTTGGGGAAATCAAGATGTCATGAGGCCATTTGTTTGGTGATGATGTGACTACGCGCCTTTGTGGATCCTTCTTTTGTCTTTTTCTCTCCTTTTATATAAAATATAATGATGCCAACCACAATATAACCGTGGTGCAAAAAAAAAAAAAAATAGAGAAAAGAATATGCTAAAAACAATTAAGGAAATTTGTGAAAAGAAATATGATATTTCAAGAAAGATATAAATGAATGATATTGCAATCTCAATCTATGCAAAACATAAGGTGAAAATTGAATGGTTTAACATATCAGAATTTTATATCAAATCTCATTTCTATTTAAAAGTGTGATTTTTTTTCAAGAAAAATATAAATTATTATGATTTGGTTTTTTTTTTCAAGCAAAATAACACTTCCAAAGATTTACATCGATTTCACAAATTTTCATACTCTATTTTTTTTTACATTTGGATTATTGTATTATTTAAAACACGGTAAAAAATGCGAATTCCTCAAGAATTAATAGTTTCTTCTTGCATTTTCTCATATTTAATAAATTGCGATTTTACTATACCTGAAATTGTTTCAAAAAAAAAATTGAACACTTTCTCGAAAATTTTCCTAATGAAATGCTATAAAAAAACTTTTCATTTAACTTATTTTTGAAAAAAACATATATAAATACCTAAATTTTTACAAAAATCTCATATAAATACCTAAACCATAAAATTTTCATATAAATACCTGAATTTTTCTAAAATACTACATAAATATCTAGATTTCTGAAAAACTCTCAAATAAATCCAAAATTCGTTAATGACATCATCTATTTTTATTTGAAAAATACTTAAAATTTATATTTATTTAGAATTTTTTTTTTAAAATCTATATATTTATATAAATTTTTTAAAAATTCAAGTATTTATATAGAAATTTTATAGTTTAAATATTTGTATAGGATTTTTATAAAAGTTTAGGTATTTATATGTTAATTATTTTTTTAATAAATGGAAATAAAGTTGCCGACAAAAAATCTAAAAAAAGGGCACAAGGTTTGCGTAGGTCAGAGAGAGAGCACGTGAGTTGTCGTAGTTCCTCGTAGCCTCCAAAAAACCACTCGACCCTCTCCTCCAAAACCTACGGCTTCTTCCTCCTCCTCCAGCCTCCTGTTTCTCTCTCTCTCTCTCGATCGACCCCGCAACTATATAAGCACTTACTCCCTTGTATTTCTCCTTCAAACAAACCACTCAACAACATCAATCAAAACACGAATCCGAAGCATTGACACAGATTCCCGATTCTCCCGGCAAAAACCCACAAAAAATTTCCAACCATGAACGCCGGAAAACAAGCTTCGTGGGCTGTTGCCATGGCGATCGCGGCGGTGGAAGCGCTCAAAGACCAAGGCGTCGCCCGGTGGAATTATCCCCTGAGATTGCTTCAGAAGAACGCCATGGCTCGTGTCCGTGCGATCTCTGTGCCCGCTCGCCCTTCTTCTTCACCGAATTCGTCGTCGTTGTCGGAGGCTGATTGCGTGAGATCTAGTGGCGTGACGAAATCGGAGGCTACAATGGAGAAAGTTATGGGTATTAGCTGTTTCGGTCCCACTACTGTTAGATTCTAGTTCCCTGTCTTGCTTTGTTCTGATTTCTTGGAGCCCCTTTTACGAATCTACAAAATGGCGTGCGTGTAAATTTTGGGGTTAGATTTCGAAACGGAATTCCGGGTTTTTGTTTGTTTGCCGAGAAATCTTCCAGAAACGCCGGAAATTATACAGACTTCATAAGATTTAGGGTAGTGGGGAGAGGAGTGAAGGAGAGAGACCAATGAAGGTCCAGCAGTAGATTTGGTTCTGTTAACTGAAAATGAATTTCAGAACAATAATAATCTTTACAATTTCATGGAAAGGTGAAATCTTTTGATCTCAATGAAGAGAAATCGGTCTGAAAAATCCAATCAAAGATCTCTGTCTGAAGTTTTGTTCAGATTCATGGGTTTGATGAACACCAATCTCATACCTAGAGAATCAGAATCACCAAATGATAACGGTTCAAGTTCTTCTCAAGCGTCGAATATGGCACAAGTAGAGGATGAACCGGTCCATAGATTCAGATTCACTGACCCAAGAAAAAGTACGAAATGTCGTTTACTTAGAGAATGTGGAATTACAACTAGGTTGTAATCAGATATGGTCGGTCCAAGTATTGTAATGAAACCGAAAAGGTTGGAGAAGAGTTTCATGGGTTAATGGTCACGAAGTGTGTTACAATTACAATGCATCATGGAGCAGCCATTTCTGAGACGTGTACCAAAGCTGCATCGTCTCCACAATCTCGTCAGTCATTTTTCACGACTGTTGATATTAGGAGATGAATCAAATCCCGGTAACGGTAACTAGGGATGTCAATCGGGCCGATCCGAGTCTGCACTCGGTCCGAAAGTTTCGGACTCGGGTTCGGGTCGGCCCGATTTTTTTCGGATCTATATAGTTAAACCTGAAACTCGACCCTATGCAATTCGGGTTCGTGTCGGGTCGGACTGGGCCGGTCCGGCCTGCGGACCTTCCTTTGTAAATGTTTTTTTTTTTTAATTTTCGAGCTTTTAGGCTGGTCCGACTCGAATCCAAAACCCGATTTGAACCCGGTCCGAAAGTCCGATTTTTTTCGGATTAAAAAACTTCGGGCTGGACCGGACCGGACTTCGGACCTCGGACCCAAATTGACATCCCTAACGGTAACTAGAGATTGACATTTTAGCGAATTTAAATAAAATTTGTGTTGCTTTTTCTCTTTTTTTGTTTTGTATTTTTTTTGTGCAAATATGTTGTTGCTTCTCGGTGGGAACAACCAAGTTTAAATAGAGCATATAGTATGAATTATGTATATGATATTATATGAAACATTAAAACTGAATTTCCTCAAAATGAACCCGTAATATCAGGTGAATCATACATAGATATCGAGCCAAAGGGTTTGGTTCAACTAATACACCAGAAAGAATCATGAAAAGCTGTATAAAAAAAAATATAGATGAAATAGTAATACTAATTTGATTAATTTATTGACATTTTAATTATATTAGCACATAGTCACCTAAATCCACGTGTATACGACAAACTCCACCGCCGTATAAATATCTTTAACAAAAAAAAGCCCACCACTACGCCGCCAAAAAATCAAAACCACAAGCTACGTGGAAAAGTCAACACTGCCAAACCCAAATAAATTAAGATGACTGAAAATAAAGTTCACATTACAATTTTAAACATTTGTAAACGATAATTATTTATATGATTAAGCAAATAAACTATTATCCGAATCGTATTGATTGAAAATTTTATGGGAGTAATTATAATTAGTATATATTTTTCATTTTCGGATACTAAAATCACTTTTGTATAAGCCCCAAAATTTCGATAACTTTATAGTTTATATAGTTTTTAAATGATAGGAAAATATTTTTCAAACTGTTTTACCTTTCCCAGTCCATTAACATGATTTTTCTGAATGAAAATGTTAATTAGAGAACTAAGATAAAAGATTTGGAAAACATATTTTTTGTTTTATTTACTATTCCAATATTTTAATTCCATTTAAATATTTTGCGTGAGCTGCTATTATTTTTGTAATTGAATAAAAAGGTCGATAAGTTTCTTAAAAAAGGTATCCAAAAAAATTAATTTTTTAAAAAAAGATCTAATAAAAATTTCAGTTATAAATAAATGTAAATACGTTTTCATCTTTTATAAAACACCTAAAAATTATATTTATCAATTTCAAATCCTGATTTAAAAAATACTTTTATAAGTTCATATTATAAAACAAAGTTCTTTGTTGACCAACTTAGTCCAAAAAATATATTAAAAAAAAGTAAAGAAAGAAAACAGAGCACACGGGATGAACAACCACCGAACCGCCTCACCTTCCTCTGCTTTTCCTTCTCCTTGATGTTCTTGAAATCAAAAACACGACAAAAAGAAAAACATGGACTTCGTTCACAGAAACCTGTCTGAAGATCTGATCAACGAAACCTTGTCGGATTCGATCTGCAAATTGGATTGCGAGGAGTCGAACGAGTACTATGGAGTTTGTCAAGTGCTATGTCTCAAAGTCTGCCCTAACATCTGCAGAGTTGGAATCATCGATCTTTCTCCTCCGGCGCCTTTCCACGGCCACGGGAACTCCAAGAGAATCTCGATCATATCTGCTTCCGCTATCGTCTCGGCCTTGCTCTTAGCTTGTTTCATAGTCATCTTCCTCAAGTCAAGATCGAGATCGAGATCGAGATCAAGATCTTCAAGATTTCGAGCTGGGTCGAACGGGGAGACACGAGGCGATGAGTTTCTTGACGAAGATCATGGACCCATGATCGACCACCCGGTTTGGTATATTAGGACCGTTGGGTTGCAGCCGTCGGTCATCAATTCGATCACGTTGTTTAAGTACAAGAAAGGGGAAGCTCCCCTCGTTGGATCGGATTGTTCTGTGTGTCTGAGCGAGTTTCGAGAAGACGAGACTCTTAGGTTGTTGCCAAAGTGTAGCCACGCTTTTCACGTCCATTGCATCGATACCTGGCTTAGATCACACGTGAACTGCCCTCTCTGTCGTGCCCCGATACTCGTCGGCTCGGAGAACTCGTCCGTTGGGCAGAACCCGGGTGAGGTTCGAGTGGCGATCTCCGACGAAAACGGAGAAGAAAGTGAGGGGAATGATCAAGAAAGTGAAGATCAAGATTGTGAAGATGGTGTTATTATTACTAGTAATAGTGTTGGAGCCGGGGAGGATGAGATGAAACGGGTGAAAAGATCGGTGTCTCTCGATTCTTTATCGGCTCTAAGGATCGGAAAAAATGTCGTTTACGGATCGAAATCTAATTCCGGAGAGCTAGGGAACGAAGAGAAGATGAAGAGATCGATCTCTTGCAATGGGAAGTTCTTGCTGCCAAGACATGTATAGAGCTGAAATGTTACGAATAAAGACCGACCTCGATATCGAATCTGTAAATGCCAAAAAAACACGAAGAGATTCGTCGGTCGGTCCATCCATAGGGTCCGTAAATCCCATTCTTGGCAAGGTCTTTGAATCAAATGTGTAAACTCTCAATCTCAATAAAAGCTAAAAGATAGATTCTTTACGTTAATGGGTTTGTAATTGCGACTTTGTATGATGAAGTTTTCAATGCATTTATCAAAATTCACTTGAATTTTAATCCAAACTTGGGTAATTCAACCGGTGGAACGAGGCGCTTTGCGTCTGTCTCGCCACGAATTCGAACTTCAAGTTTCGTAAGTAAACATATAATTCAAAACACATGCTGGTTCCCACCCTAGAGATTAATCTGGATCTTAGTTCAAGATACCCGGTTATTTAAAAAAAAATATTTGAATTGGGAATACGCTAATTGATATGACGGTTTTCGTGATCTCTATATCGTTAAATTTGGTTGGTGTTATTTTTTGGGGATTCAGTTTTATATTTCAAAAAACTATAAAGTTTCCAATTCTTTGTTGCTCGAATTTAAGTTTTCATTAAAAAAATAATATTTTGTTTTATACTCCCTCCGTTTCAAAATATTTGTAGTTTTAGATTATTATCCATGTTTCAAAATATTTATCATTTTATATTTCCAATACATTTTTTTTAAATAATTTCCAATTTTATCCTTACCAAATTCCAATACATTATTAATGATAATATTGTTTTTATTATTAAATAAAGGGTATATATGACTTTTATTTTCATTTCTTAAAAAGTGTGAAATAAGTTAAAACAACCAACATTTTGAAACGGAGAGAGTAATTATTTTAATTTTCATTCGAGTTTTGGTTTTTATCGTATGCAAAAAGCATGATATTTATTACATTAATGCCATTGATGGATTTCATTCTCAACCTGTCAACTTAAATCCACGGTATCGTTTGGTTAAAATCCTCAAATCATTAGATTAGCACTAAGCATACGGTATAATCCCAATAAGATTTTATGTGATAGAAAGGTCAAATTAGTAATTCAATGAATTCATCACTGTTGTCGTTGCTGACTGCTAGACTTGTGTGGGCCCTGTGGGCATCATCCGGATCCCGGCCTATTTAGCATCCCGTCCAATCCTTGCTCGTCGTGTTCATCACACACGGAGACAATTGCCGACGTACAATCCAGCGAGTGATTATCAAAACGACACACAGTTTCTTGAACGAGCAGCCATACGCAATGCGGATTTTGAAAAAACGGCAAGATATCTGGAAATTCTATTAAAAAAAGAATCCCACAATGTTTTTTTTCTTGGTTCGTTGGATTTAAAAGACTTTGTAAGGAAGGGAATCAAGAATTAAATACGCGAAGATTTTGTTTGACCAACTGAATTACTGTATTAACTTATTTTAAATGAAAATGTCATATTTGTGTCGTCCACATATAGAATGCGATCTTTTTGAATCAAATGCCCAATCTCTATGGTGATCTATAAATATCTATATCTTATTCATGAATTTTCAATATTAAATAATTAATCTCACATAAAAATATTCTTTCATACATCGTATCTCTCTCCCAATCTTCTATTTCGTTTTCTTTACGAAAAACTAATACTATGATAACATTTTCACCCATAATATATTCATAACATTTATTTACACAATATTTTTTATTTCTCACGTTACTCGATGGTTATATTATCATCGTTTACGAATCATTCTATAAAGTTATATACAATATTAATGTTCATTTGTTTAAACCGAAATAATATTGTTGGATCAATAATTTACCAAATCCTCGGGATGAAGAAAACATTATGATGAGCTATGAAGATATATAGCTCGATGAAAGTGGGAGGTTTTGAAAAACCTCAATAGGTAAATTCTTCCTCACACATTTACGATATTCATCCAATTTCTATTTTTTTCAATGATTTTTCGTATGATTTTTTTATTTTTAATTTTATATTATGATATATGTATGAATTTTTTTTTACTTATAAGCTGAAAATTATTTTTAAAAAAATGATTTGATATTATTCATTGTAATTTAGTTTGTTATAGTGCAATTAATTATCTATATCTTTACTGTAATTTGAGAATATAAAAACTAATTTTTTATTTATTTATTTTTAATAATTTTTTTTGTTTTTAATACAGGATATTTTCTATATTCATGGAATAAAGACAGACTCAAAACCATTGGAAAATGAAGGCGGAAGAGCCGAAAGAGATGGACATCCAAAACTCTTGGAAAATGGAGTATACACTTGGGTTGTACTAAATTAGTAAATTATATGTATAGACAAATGATTCAATTAAAAATATAAAATCTTTTATTGACATATATATGCATGTTTTTTTTATATGGTTTCAACTTTGATTTACATCCAAATATTTATCTCAATATTAGTATCCCTAATCATCACTAACTCAAAAATTAAATACAACTCCCACGAAAATAAAGCACCAGAGATTATAGAAAATTTAATCGCAAACTTCATACAAAAATTGGTTGGATCTGTCGCATCCGAATTAAACATAATCGTATATTCAAAATCAAATTGAACGAAATCTTATGTAAACCGAATTCGAATCGATTATGAATCGAACAGAATCATATGTAGAAACTGAACTTGAATTCAAATCGAACGTAATTCGATTTATGAATTTGAATTGATCGAAATACTATATAAAAAACCGAATATAAATCTAATTCAAATAGAATAGAATCCTTTATAAAAAAAAAAAACTAACTCGAATGGAAACAAATCAAATCTGAATATAGTAATTAATAAATAAATTAGAATAAACGGTTTAAATAGATTAATTGGGTTAGTCCAATTCATTTGGTTTAGAAAATAATATTATTGGGTTTGGTTAACCCAACCCATTAAATTTGTTAACCCAATTGGTTGGGTAACCCATCTTAACATCCCTAAATGAAGCTAAGTTTATTCCTTTGGATGTGGATAGTTAAATTTTATCGTAGAGTTCTTCGATTTCTTATTTTCTTTTTTGAAATCATATTCGGTTTAGGATTATGAAGTGTTCTTCGATGTTTGAATGGTTGAAATTTTTTCAAATTATCCACATGGCTACAATAATAAACCTTCAAATAGTTATTGAATCGAAATTATTTCTACTAAGTAAAATGTATTAAATTAATGACAAAAAATATTTTTTCCCTAAATTTTCATGTTATTAAGTATTTCACCCTATTTTCTTGTTTAAATAGGTATAAAAAATTAACATATCGATTACTTGTCTTAAATTCATTTTTTAATTATTGTTATTTCTAATTTGCTGTGATCAAATGTCTACACAGATAACAATTATTCAATTTGATCGTTTTTAGAAAGAGAACTAAAGAAATAAAAGGAAAAATATATAAACTTAGTGATTTTTTTTTTCTGGATTCATTGAATTTAAACAATTTATAAGCAATCAAGAATTAAATATGCAAAGATTTTGTTTGACCTGATATTTATTTCTTCTGAATAACAAATATTTTATTTCTGTCATCCACATATACATATGATATTAACGAATAAAATATTTTAAAATAAAATATATTTTATAGAATAAGTGAATCATATTATTAGTTATATTTCGAAATCTATTTACTTCATATTTGTCGTATAGTATAAAACAAATATTTTCATATAATAAATTATTAATGACAAAAAACAAGATCGCAATAATCTCATTGCACAATATGATATTCAAAGAGTTCATTGTGTAGAAATATCTCATAGGACAAAATATATTTGTTTCTTTTCATTATTATAATTGCAAAATCTAAAAAATTATTGAAAAAAAATTAATTATCTTCAAATAAATTTGATATCTAAGAGATTTTCGTTTTACAAATTAAACTCATTTGAATAATACTAATTCATGTTTGCTAAATCTAATGTACAAATGCTCGAAACAAACTCGTAAGAAAAGAACGACATGATATAACAATATAAAATTTTCAAAATAAGAATAATTCTAAAAATAAAAAAATAGAAACCGAAAGAAATTTATCTATAATGAATATAAAATAAATCAATAAATTTAAATAATAATAAAAATTCTTTGAGAAGAAAAATATAAAATTTTTACATGCATGTTCGTTTATATATCTATATATATATATTTAAAATAAAACTAATTTAGATTAAAAATAGAAATAAAAAAATGAAAATAAATTATTAAATTATTAAAGAAAATTTTAAAAATTTAAAAATTATAGATGACACGTGTTTTCTAATATAAAGATTAAAATCTTATTATATGTAAGCTAATCTATTTGTTTAAATATTTTCCGTTAACTATGTAACAGAAAGAGAGTTGTATTTGTTAGACGTTAACTATGTAACGGAGTGAGAGTTGTAGTTGTTAGACGTTACTTCTTCATCTGACAGTATATATAAACACAATATGTTAAGGGAGAAAAAAACTAACCGAAATAACATCACCGTTTTTTTCTCTTTCTCTATTTTTTTTTGTTTGCATTGTCTTTCTCGTCTCCTCAACAATTATACGACATCAAAGTTTATCATCTTCTCTTCTTTTCAGGTATAAGAGTAAAATACGTCATATCTTAGTTATCTGATCCCAACATAGTTTAAATCGATCCGGTACGTATATTTTTTATAAGTGTTTTTGGACTCTTGGATTCTTGATAATTTTTCGAATTCTCTATAGAGATTCTTTAAATATTAAAATTTTTATATCATGGTTGTTGAAAACTAATTATTTCTATAGTATTAGAATATATAAATTTCAAAGTAAGACAAAAGATTATGTTTGTTTTTTCTTTAATGTACTACTTTTGAAAAATAATATATTGATTCGTTAATTTCTGATGTCAATTCATATTTGTTCTTATAATTATTTGCAATTTGAGTCGATCATATCAATATAAATATTACTAATAATTATTTCTAATTTGACAGTTTTCATTTTATTCAACATATATACATCTCCTCATCA